AAAAACATGTGGTATCAAAACCATTAGCGAATAATGCTAAGCAACCCACTCTCACCCATTGAGTACAATATATATAGATATAAGAAATCATTTTGAGACTTGGGAATACATAGATATAGTCCTAAATGACTCTAGCTTCAAAACCAGGAATAAGCTAAGACTCAAGACACAACAACATACTTGGCACAGTAAGGCACATAAATACACTAGCATGCGAACTACGACCACAAGACAAGACGATACTACGACTCGTCAATAGCAACAAGAGCACACAACAAGACATGTCCATGTTCCAACCTTTATGCCTCTCCAACCTTATAACAGTTCCAACCAGTACCTCCAGGCCACCCTACACACCACATCCTTATCCTTCTGGGGCACCGCATGCCCCCGCCTACATGACCTCCTACATAACCGCCGAACTCATAGAATCCGCGATACATTTAAATCCAACACCGGTACCGCAGTACCATCACACACAAGCACACGCAGTGCATCAAACCACCAACATATCTTTTCTGCCAATCTCATCTCTTTTCTCATCATGGACAATCAACCCACTAGCAAGACTCGACAATGACTTTATAAGGGATAATCGGGGAAGGGCACCTCATGCATAATGACTCCCAACAACAAGTGCCCTCAAGGTGACTACAAGACACATAAAGACCACACTCCGACACCACACGATACAAGTATGGGGCACATGCAAAGACACGACTCACAATTCACATTGCGGTACTCAAGACATCACACTAGACTCACAAACATCAAAGAAGACACTTCGGGGCACGGGGATCGACCTAACGGACACCAACAGTCCACCGTACAGCATGTGTCCAGCGGGTGGACAACCACCCGCCGGCCTCTCGCCGGAAGAACCCCAATGTTCCAGCGGGCAGAGCGGCGGGTGCTCGTCCACCCGCCAACCCCCCGCTGGAACAATTAACGTGACCGGCGGGTGGTCAGGTGGGGGTTCGACCTCCCACTGACTACCCGCTGGAACAACACCCACCGAGGGTTTTCCCACTTTGGAAATGAACCAATCTTGTCCAATTTCAAGTCCAAACCCACCCAAAACTCACATTAACAATTATAGGGACTTGAACACATAGAACGACTCGACGAAAGACATAATTGACTCAAAACACAAACTCTAAACCTTGAATAACACCAGAACATGCATAAACCCACCCAAGAATATCAAGAACAACAAGATTATCAAGAAGCCACAATATAAGCCCTAAAGACAAGCTCTAATACGCATAAACACAAGAACGTGCACACTACCACACAAGATCATCAAGAACATCAAGAATAACGAGAATCCACATTATAAATCCCTAAGACGAGCTCTACCAAGGCAAGATCACATGATCACACGTATAATCATTCAATGAGCCAATAAATAAAAAATAGCAAGGAAAGTAGGTTTTGTAAGACATGATTTACCTGGTAGCTTTAATTAAACTCCTTACAACTTCTAGGATCTTTCCTCAAGGTCCTCTTTCTATCAATCTTTCCTAGGCTCGGTCACGAGGATTCTTTGTCCGAATTCTGAGAGGGGATTTTGAGTAATGGATGGGGAAAGGGTTCCAAAGCTTTCTAATTCATTTTATATAGATTTAGGAATCCTAATCAGGGTCTAATTAATAATGGGCCTTCTTTCCTTATTCTAACAGGCTTGGGGTTTCATTAAGGGTAAGGGTCCACGATCCTCCGAGGACCATATCAATTAATTTAGGAAATTAAATCCTGACTGGGTTAAATTGTTCTTAACTATTATTTAACGGAATTAATTAAATAATTAATCTGAGTTTAAAGGGCGTAACACGAGGTGTTACACCGAATCCACAAACCTGTAGTTGCTGCAATGCTTGCTCTGTATCAGAAAGGAGAGGAGAATGTACTTAGAGAAGAAGAGAAGGGAAGAAGTATTTGTCATAGAAGTATGTTTAGACAGAGTAGAGAAAGTTAAAAAAAAAAAAAATTGATGTTGGATTTGGGATTTTAACTATTTATATTTGTGAAAAAAAATCTACAACAATTCTAATTTGATAGTCAAAAAAATGAAAATATACACAATGAAATTAAAAAAAAAAAAAAAACAAAACGAGTTTTTCCCAAAATAGTCCCTCGACTATTTCTCAATGTATATTAGGTGTACAATATGTGAACGAACGAAAATGCCCTCCATTTTAACACTGAGTTGATGGAAAACTTAACGGAAGACCAAATTGGGGGAGTTTTTGGAAGTCGAGGGACTAGATTTGGTGCAATTGAAAGTCGAAATATAAAATTGAGAATGAGCAATAGTCGAAGGACCATTTTGGGAAAAAACTCAAAGTCTTTACTCAGTAAAATTAGACTCATCTGAAGACAGAACTATGTCAATTAATTTAGATGGTGTGAAAATAACAGTGATATTCCTTTCTTGTGCCATTTTAATCTTCACCCAACAAATTCAAAAGATGAACATCACAACAACCCTTCAGGCCTTCACCTAGAAAAGAAAAAACACACTGGTCATACCCCTTTCATTAGAAGACCCAACCAAATCGAAAACCTTCAACACATCCTACCTCCTTGGACTCAGCACGACGAGGCGAGACTAGAGAAGCGAAAACTGATCGGCTGCGTCGCCGGAAACAACCTCACATGCCAACGCGTGGCGTTGGAACAGCTCTACGACCGCGGCGCATGACTCCTCTGCTAGCGACCGAACTTCTTGCAGTGGTGTCGCCCGTCCGTACCAGTCCCAGCCCAGGCACTCACTCTCACTTCCTAGGCTCTGATACCATATTAAGTGTTGAAATACAAGAACAGTGCATGTATATTCATTGTGCTGCTATACAAGTAGAAGCCCTATTTATAGATAGGCTAAAATAGAGAATATTTCAATTTTGGTCATATGACTATAGGGGCATTATTAATTTCAGCACATGACTTTCAAAAGTGTCAATTTAGTACCTTGACTATGCAATTTTTATCAATTTTGGTCACTCCGGTCAAATTACCAGCCAAATTTTGTCGGAAAATTTTAACGGTTAAAATAATAAGAGTATTTTAGTCATTTCTTATCTCTTCCTTCTTCTCCGGCGAATTCTTTTTTTTTTTTTCTGGCCGAGGACACCATCATCTCGATCCGGGTCACCCCGACCCGCGTCAACACCCCGAGGCTCAACGCCAACGATGTTCACGCCAAACAGCCCCAGTTTCTTAGCAGCAGCCTTACCTTGGACCACCGGCACCAACTTGTACACCATTGCTCAGGTGTGCCCTCTACGACGCCGTTTTTTCCGCTTCAAACCCTTCCAGAACTACTACAAACACATAGATACATACCTGCGGGGACATGGTTGAGGGCGATGCCGATGTTATTGAGAGCTTGTTGAACCAATGGTGAGATCTTTGTAGTATCCCCGTAGGCGGAGATGGATATGGGCCAGCAGTAGTTCAATTTAACCAACGCCAAGCTAATATTCTTCGCGATCGGATCGCGTGCAACTAGAGTGACCAAAATTCGCCGGAAAAAAAAAAGAATTCCCCGGAGAAGAAGGAAGAGATGTGAAATGACTAAAATATCCTTATTATTTTAACTTTTAAAAATTTTTAGCGAAATTTGGTCGGCAATTTGACCGGAGTGACCAAAATTGATAAAAAAAATTGCATAGTCAAGGTACAAAATTGACACTTTTAAAAGTCATGTGCTGAAATTAACAAAGCTCCTATAGTCATATGACCAAAATTGAAATTTTCTCGGCTAAAATACTACCAGGCTTAGAATTCAAAATTCCAAAGAAAGACTTAGAGACTAACTCTAACAACTCCATTATTCATCTAACATTTTTCAATATAGATGAAGGAATTCTTGAATCAGTATAGGTTGTAGGAAAAGATATGTTCTAAAATGGGAATTGAAGATACTCATTCATGTTCCTAATTAAATGTCATTTTAAGAATGGATGGGGTTTCAGGTTTGTGAAATGGAGGTGGGGTATTCTAGGGATGGTGCATTGGATAGATTGGGGTTGTGATGTGATCTTTAAGTCATTGACTGGAGTTGCATTTTGGGAGGATTTCTTATTTGAGGAATAAAGGTTACCTTACTAGAATGATGGCGGCCATCTAGGTGGCAAATAAATGGCCGGAGTGATTTCTTTTTGTTGTTGAGTTTTGCAGTAGAGTAATGCTTAATACCCTAGATCAAATGCATGACCTTGAAAGTAAATCCATAGATTAATAGAAAGGGAGAACTTTGGGTCCTTGGGGCAAATAATTCTTGTATGTGATTTTTGGATCTTATAACTTCAAGACTAAAAATAAACTTGATTGTTTTTCAATAGCCATAAGGTTTTGCTACAACACTTTTTCCTTCTCGCTTAAGGGTAGCATTACCGATCATTTGCATGTCATTGTAAATCATGTATATATTTTTTTGGGGTATCCCCTCACTGAATTGTAGGTACCTTTTTGGGTGGGACAGCTGACTTGGAGATTTAAGACTGCTTCATTCTTAGAGCCAAGGATCGAATCCTCGACCTTTGGTTAAAAATAAATGAGTCACTTCCACTCAACCACACCCTCTAGGTTTAAATCCTGTATATATAATCAAGTGTTAAAAATTGATTTTGTGGTCTTGTTGCTTTTTGTGAAACTTTGTCAGTTTGTGCTTCACAGCAATAATTCACATTTTTTTTTTTTTTGTGATTTCATTCTCAACAAGTTCGATTGTGTTTCATAAAATAATGGTAAAAAAGCTATTATGATGAATATTTTTCGTACACAAAAATAGGGTCGAGATTATACTTCAAAACTTTTTGAGTACTTACAGGCCAAGAGATACTAATCTCACCATTAGGCCGGGGTTGTTGATTTGAATGGAGGATAATAGGATATAGACTAGCAAAGAAGTGAGAATTCATGAAAAATATGGGAATTTCTTGACATCTCTTTTAATCAGATGATTTTTTTTTTTTGAAAGGAGCCAAGGTGGCAATTTATTCAAAATAATGCGAGATTTGTGCTGGTGGGTTCGCATCCCAGTACATAGCTGAAGTTTGACTAACAACTGAAGTAGCTAAAGCATGTGCTAAATAGTTTTCTGATCTAGGAACAAAAACAACTAAACAAGAAAGTAAAGAATTAATTAAATTCCTCCAACCATCTATTGCGTAGCCAACATATGATCGATCGGTACTAGCTGAAGTAGTTAGGTATTGTTTGACCGTTAAACAGTCCGTGAGTAGTTCCAAGCTTTCCTCTCCACGATTCTTTAGCCAAGACAAAGCTTCCTTGCATGCCAGTGCTTCCGCCATAAGAGACGAGAAACAATTTGGAAGTGAAGAGACATAGGCAGAAATATATTGTCCGTTTCCATTCAAAAGAACTGCACCTACCGAGGCCGTATTCGTGGCATGGTGATAACTCGCATCCACATAACACCTGCGAGTGTGTTGCCCTGGCGTGGCCATGACTGTATTGGTGTGCGGCGGTGCAGGGGTGTTTTCGGTTCCACGGTGCACGGCACACCATGCCTTCATCGTGATGGTGGCCGTCCTTAGAGTCTTCTTCGGCATTGGCATATAGGCGTCCCAAACGGCATTGTTTCTTGCTCTCCAAATATGATATAAGATTGCAGCTGCATACACCAGACCATCAGTGTCCAAATTATCCAAAATCATATTAAACCATTCATTAAAAATATTCGTCTGGATAACAGGGATTGGGAGGTTAGCTTGCCCCCATACAGCCTTGGCATAGTCACACGTGACCAGGGCATGCATGGTATCTTCATATAACACTCCACACATAGCACAACTAGGCTCAATATCAACTCTCTTGTTTCGCAGATTCATAGTAGTGGGAAGAATGTCACTCAAAGCTCTCCATAGAAAGGTTTTCCATTTTGGGGGGATTTTGAGCTTCCATAACACTTGCCATTTATTAAAGAGATTAATCGTATTATCATACCTGCCAACAATACACTTATAACCACTTTTTACAGAATACAATCCTCTTGGGTCATCATGCCAATACCACGTATCTTCATAATCTGGTGATATGGGAATTTTCAGAATTCTGGGTACATCTTCTGGCACAAAAATATCCGTTAAAATGGAAGTATCCCATGTCCCCGTCTCTTGGTCAATTAATCCAAAAACTCGTGCATTAAGCAGTTGTGGTGACATTTCTGTTTGAATCATTGGATTCTGCTCATCCTGCAGCCAGGGATGATCCCATATTTTCGTATCCTTGCCATTCCCTATCCTCCGCCTCACACCAGTACAAACCATGCTTTTTGCTGCCATAATACTTCGCCAACAAAAACTTGGATTATTCCCAAGATGTGCCTCTGAGAAAGTATCTTTCGGATAATACCTGGCCTTATAAATACGTGCCACTAGGGATTCTGGCCTTGTGAGTAAACGCCATGCCTGCTTTCCCAACATTGCCAAATTAAATGCCCTGAGTTCCTTAAAACCCAAACCTCCATATTTCTTAGGGATGCATAATTTATCCCATGCCTTCCAATGTATTCCCTGATTAGTGCCTGAGTTCCACCAATACCTGTTCATGGTCCTCTCAATAGAAGAAACAACATTCATAGGGAGTAAAAAAACACTCATTGAGAAGGTAGGCATAGATTGAGCCACACTTTTCAATAATATTTCCTTACCAGCCTGAGAGAGCAACTTCTTATTCCATGAACCAATTCTCTGTTTAATCTTTTCCTCAATATACGAGAAAGCTGCCTTTCGATTTCTACCAATAAACGACGGAAGCCCCAGATATTTACCAAAATTTGGGGCTTGCAACACCCCCAGTTCCTGCGCCACCATGCCTCTGTCCTCCTCAATAGTATTTTTGCTATAACAAATACTGGATTTATGATAGTTTACCGCTTGTCCTGACAACTTCTCATATGCCGTTAGGCATCCTTTTATCACACTTGCTTCCTGCAAATTGGCCTTAAAGAACAACAAACTGTCATCCGCAAAGAAGAGATGGGATATTGGGGGAGCTCCCCGAGCCACTCTACATCCATGAATACTATTATTCAATTGTGCCTGTTGCAACATCATAGAGAGTCCCTCTGCACAGATAATAATTAGATACGGAGACAATGGGTCCCCCTGCCTCAATCCACGAGTAGGTGTAACTGAATCAGTACGAGAGCCATTAATTAAAAACCTGTACGATACAGTAGACACACATAACATAATCAAATCCACCCATTTTTTATCAAAACCCATGGCCACAAGCATCCCATGTAGGAACGACCACTCCATTCGATCATATGCCTTTGCCATATCTAATTTTAGTGCAGCCCATCCAACAACACCACACTGTTTCCTGTGCAAATAATGGCCAACCTCCGATGCTAGCAAGATATTATCCGTTATAAGCCTATCGGGTATAAACGCACTCTAGGAATCCGATATAATCTCATCCATCAAGGGTTTCATTCTATTAGTCATTACCTTTGCCATTACCCTGTATATCACATTACTCAACGCAATTGGCCTAAGATCAGATACTCGTTCCGGGTTTTGCTTTTTCGGGATCAATACCACATCCGTTTCATTCAGAGTTGCTGGGAAGCTGCAATTATTCAAACAATTTACTATAAAGGATGACATATCCCCCCCTACCACATCCCAAAAATGTTGATAGAAGCCAGGGTTCATTCCATCCGGGCCTGGTGCCTTGTCAGGATACATAGAAAAGAGAGCAGTTTTGACCTCATCGTTAGTGAACGGCCGGACTAAAGATTCATTTTGTGCCAGAGTGACACGCGGGGCAATACTATTAAAGAAATTTTCCCCATTCTCCGGGTTTCCCGAGGCAAAAATATCTTGGAAGTACTGTAAAACAATCCCCCTCATAGGCTCACCTTCCACCCAATCCCCATTATCATTCATAAGCTTATCAACATTATTTTTCTTTCTACGATGAGAGGCATACCTGTGAAAGAATTTTGTATTGGCATCGGCACCCTTGAGCCAGTGTTGCTTAGCTCGTTGTCTCCAGAATGCATCCTCCCGTGTCTCTGTTCGGCATAATCGTTCCTCCAATGACCGGAATTCAGCTAACGAGGCTGGATCCGTTTTTCCTCTCAGACGCAGCTGCTCTTTCCGCAAACTCATAATTTTCTCTCCAAACATATGAAACCTGTCACCCCCCCACCGAGATAGCCGAGAGCCACAGAATTTTATGCAATCCTGCAGTCCACGGTCCTTTCCTTCATCCCATGCTTTTTCCACAACACCCCGGCATCCCTCATCATATAACCATGCATTCTCAAAACGGAAACCCCTCCTACTAGCCCCACCCCTCCCTACGGAGTCATGGATGCTTAGAAAGAGAGCCGAATGATCCGACTTGCGGGTTAAAAGATTAGATACTCTGGCTCCTGCAACAATCTCGCGCCACTCATCCGAGGCCAATACTTTATCCAAATGTTCCTCTATCCAGTCAGCCGTTCCTTTTCCCCTCTCCCATGTAAACGGATATCCCTGCATAGCCATCTGAGATAGGCCACACTCCTCAATAGTATCCCCAAAACCGCGTAGGAGCCTATCAGGGTGTGGGTTTCCTCCTCGTTTCTCGTGCTGAGAAAGAAGGTCATTAAAATCCCCATCTACTACCCAAGGCAGGTTAGACTTGGTAGCCAAAGATCGTAACTTTCCCCATGATTCCTCACGTCTGGGTCGCTGTGCCAACCCATAAAAACCAGTCATTCGCCATTTAGGAAAGCCATGCATACTGACCTCAATATCCACATGATTATCCGAATAGCTGAGCAGACTAGCTGTATTATTTCTTCGCCACAACAACGCTATACCACCCTTCACACCATCACTATCCACACAGAAAAGACCATCAAAACCTAACTTGACTCGTAAACGTTCAGCATGTGACCGATCAACCATAGTTTCCATCAAAAAAATAAAGTTGGGTTTCTTACGGGACGCTAAGTCCAGAACTTCACGAACTGTCCGTGGATTACCCAAGCCACGACAGTTCCAGCTAAGGGTACTCATTGGGTCGGGCGGGTTTGGGAACCAGAACCCGCCTGCTGCAAGTTTTTTGACTGCTCTGCCATAACAACATCTTCCTCCACCCTTCCCCGCCCTCCTTCATCCGTCACCTCACGGCGCCGCTTAGACACGGCCACCAGCTCCGCCTCCCTAGCGTTACCGGCCCGGCTAGCTTCTATCGGCGCTGCACCACCCGACGCCACATCCGCCGTCTGCCTCGCCACCATCTGTCGGCCGGTCGGTAACAACCAGCTCCCACCGACCGGTCGAGGACCCCGAGATCCCCCCGCCTTCAGTTCCGGGCCATACAAATATTCCTCCACCGGTAGTGCCGAATCCCTCGCTCCCCGACAGAATTTGTATGAGTGTCCCAAAAGTCCACAAAAATAGCAATATGTGTGCAGACGTTCATACTTGAAATTCACCCAGCAACTCGTCTTATCCCTCTTAATAAAATTCATACGCCTCCTCAACGGTTTGTCAACGGCCAACGAAACCCTAATTCGATGAAAAATCTTCCATGGTGCATTATCAAAACGGTCATCCGCCTTGACAAACTTTCCCAAGAAGTTCCCAATCTGTTCCAATATTACGGCAGTCGCATACCCCTTCGGCAAACCATGGAGTTGTATCCATAAATCAACCGAATCAAGCTCAACATCACACGGGGACATTCCATCCGGGACCTGCTTGCATACAAAAGTGCTATTATCAAACGACCAAGAACCATCATTCAGAACACGCTGCATATCCGTCACATGGTGAAAGATAAACAAGAAACGGTCAGGTTCCACCTCCGTCGCCTCAACACCACTGACCGGTTGCCATACAGATGCCATAACTTGACTCATAAATTCCAACCTGACCAGCTTTCGTGTTAAGAAACGGCCGACGACCGCCCACTCCTCCTCCACGGCGTCCGTTCCACCACTGCCGTCGCCTTCCTCCACCGCCGGCATAAAAGCCGCAGCCTCCTCCTCCAAAACAAGATCCGCCCATCTCCTCGTCAACCCTGCTACGTCGCTGCTGGTGTGACTGGTAGCCATGCTCGCCCAAACCTGCTGTCGGAGAAGCTTGATGGAAAACGGAGAGATCGTCCGTGCCGGAAAGTCGAATTATCGACGTGAAACCCTAGAGAGAACTAGGTAGAGACGTATACTTTGTGGGAAATTAAGAAAGAAAAAAAGGTATTGGCAAGTTTTAATCAGATGATTAAAATATGAAAGCCATATTTAAGGTTAGTAGTCTCGGGACTAGGTCCCTTATATAACATTATTAAAATTGGCCTCTCAGCTTTTATAGCTTGTTCAACCTCTTTTTTTTTTTTGTTCTTTTTTTTTTTTTTTTTTTTTTTTTGGTAAAAGAATTTATGTTTTTTTTTTTTTTTTTTTTTTTTTACTAATTCCCTCATACTCTTGTGCACTCAATTCATTTTTTTCTTCCCCATCTTGCTCACTCTCACTTTCCTCAACCCTTTCTTCATCATCCTCACATTACCTCTCCCATTTTGATTTTGTCGTTAAACTTCCTCAACTATCTCAATTCGTTCACTCAACCCCTCAATCACATTACTAATCTTAGAGAATTGTCCCTTCATGGCTCTCATCATGAGGCGCATGTCAAGACTCACCTCTTGCTTATCTATCTCACTTGGACCCGACATGATGTACCCTGCACGACTGCACAAAAATAAAATAGGACCTCACGTCACTCCCTCACTCACGCTCTTTAATGGGGTGGTCACTCGTTCTTTTACCACTCGTGTATTAAAAAACCACTCTAATAATCTAACCAAATTATACCTTCTTATTAGAAAATAAAGTTCTCTCGTCCAAGTTCTAAGAACTAAGATCAAGAATTTTTGACCGAGTGGCTAGGTGAGTATATTCTGGATTTTATTTAGTAATAATTTGTTCACAATTTTTTTTTTTTGGCTATGGGGTTATATCACCAGGTAATTGGGTGGGTAACACAAGTTGGGTAAGTTCAATGAAAATAATAATTTTAGATGAACAAATAATCAAGTAACACGAAACAAAAAATTACTCTACCCTTGTTGTATTTTTTTTTTTTCTTTGCTATTCTGTTCTTCTCTTCTTCTTTGTTTTTTTTTTTTTTTTGTTTTTTTTTTCTTTTATCCTTTCAGGAATTAATAGTAGACAAAATACTAGTTTTACACATTGAATAAAAGTTCATAGTACACATGCTAGAGTGCTAAAGTTTGTTTAGATTATTTCAGCAAGTTCGTAGCAATGCATGTAGTTCATAAAAACAACCAATTCTAAATGTCTCAAGGTGATATGAAGATCTTACGTGCACCAATTGGATAACTTGGCTTTGATACCAAAATGTTGTGAACTAGCTATCTGGAGTGAAGCTACGAGCTACCGAGGGATGTTCGGATTAGTCCAGTCCGGTAGTATCAGCGAAAGAAACAGATGGTTGACAGGTTGGTTTGTTGCAGGTTTAGGGAGTGTTGGTTTGGAGTTAAGGTATTCTTGTTTTTGGATTTTGGTGTATAGCGGTTTGCCATGTCCGGCTGTAGAACGATAAAAATCGGGAATGACGCCACAAGGCTGGTATTTTCCTTGATAAGTCGAAGAGCTCACATAGGACCCCGTGAGAGAAAACTTGCGATATGATGCGCAAGACTTTGATTTCTAATCTCATGCATTGTCTGCCTTCAAAATAAAGAAGCTATTTATACTGCTATGACAGCCTTATTTTCAGCCAACTAAAGAAAAGAAATAACTAAAAACTGCATTAAAGATTAGCTACTATCTCAAGGGACTAGGGAGCAATTTGTTAAGCTAGAAAATTGAATTTTGAATTCAATTTTTATTTGCAAGTCTAATTCCCATTATTTGGTCAGCTTCTTTGAAACCCAATCCTTGATCGCAACTAAATTGACATATTTAGCTTCAATTCCCTCCCTAAGTTCACATAGCTTGGTCTTCTTGTTGTTTAACTTATTTATGAGACCATTTAAAGCTTCTTGCAACCTCCTTGCCCTTACCCGTGAGATAGGACCTTCCGTGACTGGCAACGGGTATTGCATATCATTAGTTTGTCCTCTGTTGTCCTCAACACAATCTCATCTGTATCATCATAAAGGTGAGGAGGTAGGAACTTCACCATGTGTGAAAGAAGCTATTCGGGCACAGCAGCTCACTACTGGCCTAATAAATGTCTCGCCCACAAATCACATATATAACTGGAAACTAGACCGCTATCTTAAGTGTATACATCCCCTAACTGGGATTCTAAGCCCATGGAGTAATAGCTCAAGCCCCAAAGTACACCCAGAATTTTTCGACCAGGTTACTTTACATACTTCTGGAATTTTTTTACCGAAACTTTTTTCATCACAACAATTCAACTTTTCCTTCAAGGGGACCGAAGTCCAATCAATTCCTCCAAAATATACATTTTTCCTCACATAATAAAATAATGATGGTGTAAGCATTAGAAGCATTCTATTTCAAAAATAGATTTTATTTTGAAGAACATACTATGAATAGATAGTAATCATAACCTTTTTAAAATAGGGGAAATGGATAGGTGTTCCGAATATAAAGTTTACTACTATTTACTCGTGCGATGCACAGACAATATGTTGAAAAATCTAAATTATAATATTATTGAAGAATATTTTTTTAAAAATATAGACAATATAGTTAAAGATTGTTTTGAAATGAATTTTCAGATATAAGTATGTATAAAATTGGAAGAAGTGTGTTAGAAGTAAAATACAATTTTATTTTAAAATATAATCAACTAAAAAAACATTGATTCTTATACATTATTATAAAAACTTCTTTATAAACAACATTAGTGGTGGTAATATATTAAGAAGTGACAATAAATAGTAAAATATAAAATATAATAATATAAATTTATAATAAGTATATATGTTATGGATTTAAGAAAACTATCAACCAAATATTTATTTATAAATAAATATGTTCACATATAAACACGTATATCTAAATTAAAATAAATAAATAACAAAAAATAAAGTTAATAAAAAATAAAATGATTATATACATGTAATGTAGAAATACGTACTGCACATTATATATTTATACCTAGCCAATTACCATGTAGTGAGAACTACTTCGCAATGTCCTTGTTTGACCATCCGCAGTTAGCGGTTAGCGTTAGCGGATTATATTAGCGAATTTGACCAGTGAATTATATCAACGGTTAGTAAACAGATATTTGAAAAAATTAACTGTTTAGATTAACAAGTAAAATTACCTAAGGGTATATATATAATAATAATAATAATAATAATAATAATAATAATTGTTTAAAAGAATATAATTAAGTCAATCATATTAACTACTTGGGGGATTTATTGACAAAAAGAGTATTCAAATCACACAACAATTTGAAGTGAAAAACTATCTCGCAATGTCCTTGTTTGACAATCAGCAGTTAGCTCTTCAATATTAGAATATATTTAATATTTTATGCCCTAACTTTTATTTGCTCTCCCTTATGTCCCGTATTTGGTTTCAACCATACCTTTACAATTATTTTTGAAATTGCACCATGAAACTTGAAAAACAATAAGCAATGTATTTTTACTTGTTAATTAAATTATGTACTAGTTACGTTCATTAATTAAACTTGTTTAAGCAAATGTAAATAATGAAAGCTGAAAGCTTAAAAGAATGTAAAAACACAAAAGAATTGTTACGCAGTTCGGAGCTCCTTCTCCTACGTCTGCGGGGCAAGCCACGTCTGCCCAATCCACTATAGATGTTCACCAAAAGGACTATTACAAGAGGTAAATACAGATGGCTTCCAGCCTTTACCACTACCACTCTTTCTAACACCTATCCAAGACTGACACACGAAAACCCGAACAATCTTCACAAGATACT